AATAATAAGAAGAAGAACAACAACAACAATAATAATGATAGTGTGTATAGATAATACGCCTCAGTTGATGTTAGAGGGAAGGTCGGAGACTAAGAGTGGAAACTCTAACAACACCTACTTCTATCTCGGCCAAAGTGGTCAGCATTCTCTGTTTAGGGCCCAGATCTATATTACTATAATATACTATACTACCCTTCTGTTTTCCCCCTCTGCAAGTTGGCCGTTAGTGTGTAAATGATATTACGCTTCCTATATTCATGATTCCCCAGAAACATGAGTCACCCTCTCGGGTTGGAGAAAGTTGAGTTGAAGGCTCCTTTTTTAACAGTTCGTCTCTCTTTGTTTTGACTCCCAGAGATTCGCTATGATATTATAGGGCGATAAGAAGTAGGGCAGGACGCATGGATTCGAAAAACTGACTCTCGAAAACTGAACTCTCGCGACAGAACCAGATCTTCCCCTCAAGTATTATAAAGAACCATTGTTGAATTAGAAAACTCCTCGGCAGTACAAGAAAAGGATTGCATGTAAAGAGATGTGTGTTTACTACTTTTAAAGCGACATTGTGGTTAATTCGGTTTGCTCTAGATCTAGATCTAGTTCGCGAGATCATCGTCATCGTATTCGTAGAGCACTACCCGACTTAATAAAATCCTTTGTTGCAGAACCCAGCGATCTTGTTAAGACAATCCTTACAGCAATAATTTGTCGGACTCGACCTACACCGCCACTCTCCCCAAAAGCCACTCGAATAATAAATTGATCGCGATGCTGAGTGCCACGTCAATCGTTTTTTTGGTGTTTTTTTTAAAAATACAACACTTGAAATTTTCAGTCTCTTCTTTTGAGTGCGTGTTGAAGTTGAGAAGCGTGAGGGTTGTGTCTTACAAGCCTGTCATTGAACTATGGAGGAGCTGATAGCCTACTCGAAATCGCAGAACATCACGTGTCCGAGGGGGTGCATGACGCGGTGGAATCAGGCGCTCCTCAATTTTTTGGGCATATTATTATTATTATTATTATTGAGTTTTTTTGTGTCATCTTAAAGCTTGTTTATTCATCTCGGTTTTGATTAACAAAAATACCCATCTATCTTGAAAAGGAGTCGAGATATAAATTGTGATTGAAAGAGATGAGGGGGGGGTTCGCCTGGTGTGATGTCAGAGATATGATTAGCGAGAAAATAGCCACCAAAGTTTGGAGACTGCCAAAGCTTGGGTGTCCTTGAAAACTGCTAATTTACATTTTTTATGCCTTTGATCAACGTTTTTCTGTAAGCTCCACGCTAGAATGTGCTTTTAAATTGACATTAAAGGTGTTGAGCAAAAAACCATTTTGTAATAATATTTTAAAGATGCCTAACAGCCAGAAAAAAATGCCTTTTTCTTTCATTTCATAATTTTGACGAGCACCTGATTTGACCACGATGCCTCACCATTGTATTGCTTTTGTTGTTCCAGATGAAGATAGAGTAAATGAAACGTTCTCTCCTCACGATACACCGTAGAAGTTGAAGAGAAAAAAAGCTGGAGGATAAAGACTGAGGTTACCTCATTGAACATCGACCGGCGTAATGCGCTCCAAGTGTCATTGTTACTGTTACTTTAAGTTTAAGTGGATCTACCTTTGTGTATACCATCAAAACACACAAAAATGATTGCCCTTGCTACATGTTTGATCATGTGATTGGGATCGTTTAGAGATGCCAAATTGATTGCGGAATATTTGAAGAGGGGTAAGAGAATTTGAACAATAGTTGGTTGTTTTTAATTTGTTTAGTTTTGTTGGTTTTTTTTTTTTTTTGGTTTTGTTTGGGGGGGGGGGGTCGAGCTCTGCACCACGCTTTGAAGAATTATTTTTTGTAAAGAAATAAAAATCAAGAGCCAAACCGGAGCAAAAACTAAATACGCACAGAAATAGGGGCGAAAAAGCCCAGTTCCGAAATGCAAACAGATCCGTCTTTATTTGCCGAGTAATTTTCTTCGTTTCTTTCTTGAACACTGCTAATATTCAGACATTTTCAAAACCAACCAAAGTGTGCTTTACATAATACATTATCATTTTTTTAGGTCTTAAAAAAACTGAATCAAAAATACATTATATCTTTGCTCAAGATTCAAAATGTGTCAGCAAACAATTGCAGAGGCGTTTTGCGACACAGAGTTATTTCCCCAGCCCGTGCGATTACCCTTGCGATTGTTTGACTTGCCTCGGTGTAAATAGAAACAGAGGAGACAGACGACAGTCTTGTCTACATGTAGCCTGCCATTTACTGCGGAGCTCCCACTGTCGCCATTTTGATTGTTTAGTCAGACGACAAATATTAATGTATTATAGTAAACTCCGCCCTTGTTGAACTCGGTTGCATTGGTCTTCGGTTTAACCCTATCCGTACGCCCTAGGGTCATTTTGTACCCACGGGGTTGTATCCTTCACATTTTAGAATACTTCTAGTGCGAACATCTCTTTGAAACTTTAAGTATTTCTTTAAAAAAACAACATCATTGTGACAGACTGCATGGCAAAGCGTACGGATCGGATTAACGAGTAAATTTCCTGTTTGAAAAGTGGTGGCACAGAGTTCCCCACGCCGTATGGATGCGATAGTAAAACACGACGTATGGATAGGGTTAAGTGGTGGCACATAGTTCCCCACGCCGTATGGATACGATAGTAAAACACGACGTACGGATAGGGTTAAATGGTGGCACAGAGTTCCCCGCATCGTATGGTTACGATAGTAAAACACGACGTAGGCCTGCGGATAGGGTTAAGCTGATCTTTCTTTTCCCAGGTCCCAGAACCTCTTCTTCTTTCCAGGCCACCCCAAATCTTTGAACATCGGATGAGTTGATATTCTTTTCAGTCCCCTGAAGACATCAACTTATCCGTAGTCGACCGCGGCAGTTATAAGACGTTCAACAATGGTTCTTACTTCATTCATTAGCTCGGATGCTTTAAGAAAAAAAAAAGAAAAAGAAAAAGCTGCATTATCCTGATTTTTCGGTGTCACCCAACTGTTTTGAGGGCTCTCTTGGTCTAGTGGTCACGGCGTTCGCCTCTCATTCAATAGGTCTACTTTTCTCTATGACTATGGATGGCCATTTTACACAAATTCGACTGTATATGTAATCTATATTAAGAATTATACTTTCCATATTATTATATTATGTATGCTTGAAAAAAATACTTTCCAATTCATATATTGCGTGTGATTAAGATAACTATTTTTCATATAATAAACTTTATGTGATTAAGATAAATATTTTCTACATAGTCCTATTATAATAATATGATTAAGATTATAACTTTTGACAAAACGTACTCAGATCTAAGATGCTTGAGCTTGGCTGTAACGTTCACTTTCTGAAGCCCAGATCCTCGTTTGGTCAATTTTATGGACAATCAGGCTAACCCAGATTTTGGGGATTTCCAGCAATCGTGACCTTCACCAAAAGTGGGCATTGTCATACCTGTAGGAGAAATTTGGTTTCATTGGCGTGTATATATATTTGTTTGGTTATATAGAAAACTCTCCTTGTATTAGAAACTGAACAAGGGGCAAAAACTTTACCTTCGATTTTCTCAAAATAGCCTTTTTCGGGAGAGCCATCTTGTGCTTAAAAGCGACCATTTAATAGTTTCTTTCTTTCAAAGAGCTATCTGGAACTCACCTGCTTAAAACTTACTTTCAGCTATAACGCTTGCGTTTCAACAGATGCCAGTGGTCAAAAGTCCATTCTCAACTTGTATCATCAGTGCCTTTCTCCTCGTGAACCAGGATATAGGCCACGGAAAAAACACTTTCCACATTTCTCAATCCTGGGCTAGCCTCTTGATGTTACTCCATGTCTTCCCATTTTTCTGTACTTAGATTTCTGTGATTTCAACATGATGTATACAACTTATAAAACTTGTGAAATAACAATGCCAAAGTAGAATAGGCCTACAATTAGAGCTTTGTGAAACTTGGTGTAAAAAGAAAGAAAGAAAGATGCACATTATGCATAACATGAACATTGTCTTTCAGCCAAACCCTTGATCATATGGTAGGTAAGATCAAACACCTAGCTTTCTCGGATATGGGAGAACAATTGCGGAGGTCCCGTGTGCAAGTTGCGCACGTTAAATATATCTTGGTGGTTCTAAAATTGACGAGAGTAGGCTTCAGCGGTAACTGAAGCAAAATTCATACTGTTTTAATTCTTTCCTTACTGAAAATGCTAAATTCCTGTCCTCTGTGTTGTGGGTGATGACCCTGCTTATTCTTGACTAGATGGTTCCCTCCGTCATGGGGACCTATCTATCTCTTTGCAGGTACTTGCCAACTGTCAACTGTACAGCTGTCATAGTGAATTATTTGAATCTAGAACTGGGGTCTTAGGAAGACGGGATGCTCCATGCTGTCGAAGTGTCACGGGAAAAGGGACACATGTGTTTCCAAGTCGCCAAACATAATAATAGATAACGACTCCGAAATGATCTTACAGCTTTGATAGAGCAGCCGTCAGACGGGTCCCATGACGGAGAAATAGATTTAGGCGAATTTTAAAAGCTAGCAATGTCATCTACCTGCTCGCACTCTTCCTATCTAATTAAAACATCTCCAAGGACATAAAGAGACAGCTTATCACTTCAATATTCACACCAACAGTATGCTACCAATGCCAGACCTGGATATCAAGTAAAACCCATGAAAGCAAAATCACTGCATGAGATACGATGTCTCGACAAAACCCTTGACATCACAAGACGAGACAGGCTGAGAAATAACGAAGTAACGGCAGCTCTTGGCACTGCGTCCTGCCTGCATTTCATAGAAAGGCAGAGAATAAAACAGTTTTGCCACCTGTTACGTATGTCACCTGGCCAGCCAGCCCCGAGAGCCTACAACACCAAGCACTCAGGCTATAACGGAGAAGGAAGGCCACGCAAAAGGTGAATTGAGGAAACCAATGAAACCCTGAGAAATCATAATAATATCCCAACTGAAAGAGCTGCGGAGCTGGCCTACCATAGAAAACTGCATCCCCCCCCGACGCTTAACCGCAACAAAGGATAAAAAAGTAAAGTCTAGTAAAGACGTCAAATAGAACATCATTTAGTTTCTGACCGCATACTAACAATTCAAAACGGCCAAAGGTATCAGACAGAACTTGGTAATTACTCCATTCTTTTTAATTCTAATAGAACGTAATCTGCTCGATAAATCCCGAGTCAGAGTGAAAGTGCACTGCACTAGGCCTAACTCTCGTCTCTCCGGCATCCGCATACCTAGTTAATTATTATAATCAGTGGATTCAAGATCCACTTTCGAGAGAAAGGACATGCTGTAAAAGTCCAGAGTTGGAATGAAGCTCACATCGATCTACTTGAGTATTTATTTATTTAAAAAGGTAATCAAAATGACTTATTTAAACCCGAATATTTCTAAATGCAAGTAGTAATAATAATATATACTTCGCGAAATTTTGCTGAAAAGACAAGAATACTCCCATTGTAAATAGTTTAACCGCTTTTAAAAAGTTATTGGTAGATAATTCTTAAATAATACAAAAGATATATAACATTTATTGCAATTGCAATATATTTTAATGATTGTTTCCCTTAGAATTGTTGTGTTTTAAAAATATCGATAATTGACATTTTTCCCTCCCTTGCCGGAGCTCCGGGATTTTCCGAATGAGGTCTTTAGTTTTAGTAAAGTTTTTACGGCGCTCGCAATTGTATTATGTCATATGAGCGCCAAGGGGTGGATGTCAACAGAGAAGTCCATACAATATATGGAATCTGGCTTACTCTGCTCACCTCTCTAGCTTCAAGAGCACACAGTCTGCTCGGACTATCAAGTCATCCCGGAAATAGCAGTTCACAAGAGTGTGACAATCATACAAACAAATTAGAGGAAGAATTACGATAGTAAGGAGTAGGAAAGAAAAAGCAGAATTCCCCCCTATGTTGTTCCGGCACAGTGTGACCATGGCATTGATGAATCAGCCCATTTACAATTCTACTGTCGATAAGAACATGTTAATGTCTCCCCCCCCCCCTTGGGAATGGCCAAAAGACACTTCAGTTAGTAGCACCGCCCCGGGGGGTAAATGAGGTCTGTCTAAGGGGTTGTCCGCACCAAAAGCCAAAAACAGTAGCTTAGCCTAGCCGCTATGAGCAGTTCTAGAAGTAGGTTCGAGAGTCCGCATCCAAAGCTGCGTTGGCTAGCTCTAGCTATCCAGTAGCAGTCAGCTCGTTGGCTGCTCGTGCACTGCTCAGTATTTATTATCAGCTTGCATGTTCTCACCAAAAGCAAAATAAAACCAGCGTGTTAATTAGCTTTCTCTGCTAGCTCGCTGCTGGTATTGGAGACAGTTCATAACATGGCGGTCCGTAAAATAATAATATGTTTGATGCATTTGCTGGACACTTCATCACTATCGACACTGTCTCTTGTATTTGATGTCGAGAAAGAATACTGGGCTCATCCCATTAATGCCAAAAGAGTCACATGCAGAGAATTTCATTACCTGTTTCTTGACTTAGGTTCAACAAACACAGAGATGATGAAGGCAGCATTTCACACACAATTTATAGACTACGAGAAGCTGATGTCTGTAGAGGGTCGGGGAGAGACAGCAACCTGCGTGGAAAAGCCAGAAGAATATCCAACCAGTTGTTAACGGGCACTATCATCAAGCAGACCATTTCATGGATCCTGGAGAGGAGGGAGGAGCAGCTATGGCATTGTGCCGCCTGCAATAATGCCTATTCTCAACCAAGCAACCAAGTAAGTTGATCTAAGTGACATAAAGGGCTATCAAATTCATCTTGTCTGCAATTTCTTGAAATTGTTGTTTTCTCTTGGTTTCTCTGTTCATAAATTTCTTGTCCTGTTTTCGCCACAAGCATGGATCACCTTCACCTGTCCCGTAGACTGGATGTCCGTCGGGGCTTTGGAAGATTTAGCCACCCACAACCTTCACTCCTCCGGTCTTCGGCTTTCCTGAGCGTGTCTTCGAGTTCCAGGCCTGTCCATTCCTTGATGTTGTCCTTCCAATTCTTCTTCGGTCTTTCTCTGCTCCTCTCACAAGCATGGATATTCCTGGATTAAACTTATGACCTCAAACGTTTTGGCACTGTCCATTGTTTTGTTTGTGCTTTGTTGTGCGGGCTTTCAAGAGGAGAATGTAGAAGTTCGAGGAGATCGAGATGTGGCGTCGGTGGCCTAGTGGTTAGGCTCTCGGACTCACAACTGTAAGGTCGTGGGTTTGAATCCGTCAGGTGCTCGACGTTGTGTCCTTGGGAAAGGCACTTTACACGAATTTTCCTCACTTCACCCAGGTGGGAACGGGTACCCGGCTATAGACAGCGAAAGATCTTGTCAGTTTGTGAGTGTTTGAGCGCTTAATCAGCTGCTTGCACTGTATGTTTCCCGGGAAGCTGAGAATGTTTCGGAGTGTTCTATGGTATGCTGGGGTAATAATATAGTGTAAAGCGCATAGAGCCTGCAGTTGAGCGGGGATATGCGCTATACAAATGCTATTTATTATTTTTATTATTATATTTTGGCGGGGCTTGGTGGGAACATTCGGGTGTGCTAATTTAGAAATGACGAAATCACTGTTATCATTGAGCGGTAGTAAATGTAGGGATGTTTTTTACTGCTCACTGCTAGCAGTGCACTGCTCGGGTACGGCGTGGCTACAGCTTTTGGTGCGAACGGTAGCTGGATACCTGGAGGTGTCATCTCTGACTCAGAGGTTGACGTGTGATGACCATCTGTCTTTCACGGTCGCGAGCTGCCGTTGCACACACTGCTATACCTCTATGACTTCCGAGTCATGCAAAATGCTTGTTGGCTCGTATTTTTTTATACTCGGCCCGTACCTAATACAATAACAACTTTGCCTCGGACTGTGGTACAGTCCAGCCTTAGTTACGGACCTCGACTTCCGGACACTACCACCGTCCAGACATGAGGCCAGTCCATGTTCTTATGTTGTCCATCCATGTTACTTTTTGTCTTTCCCTGGCTCTCCTGCCCCACATCCTTCTACTTCTAGCTTCAAGAACTTTAAAAATAATTGTTATGGTCTGGTGTCGTTTTAAGCGACCAACGTTTTGTATTTTTCTACATTTGAATTATGTTTTTATTAAATTACTCAAAGGGGGGATATTAACATTATCTTATGTACAGTAGAATTGTAAATGGGCTGATTTATCAATGTCATGCTCATACTATGCCGGAACAATAAAATGGGAACTGCTGCTTTTTCTTTCCCCATCCTTACTACATGTATCGTTATTTTTTCTCCTCTTCTTTTGTATGACATTCTCTTGTGAACTGCTTTTTCTGGGGTTCATTGATAGTTCAAACAGACTTAGTGCTGTTGAGGCTATAGAGGTGAGCAGAGTAAGTCTGATTCCCTGTTTGGACTTCTCTGTTGACTTCCACCCCTTGGCGCTCATATGACCTTATGCAGTTGCGAGCTTCGTAAAGCTTTATAATTAAAACCAAAAAACTAAAATAGATAAATAAATAAAAATATAGATAAAAATAAATAAATGGATAATAATAGATCTAATAGTAATAATAATAATAATAATAATAATAATAATAATAATAATAATAATAATAATAATAATAATAATAATAATAAATAATAATAATAATAATAATAATAAAGAAATATACCCCTCGACGCCCTAGATGATACAAAAGAAAGGACACAATAAGTAAGTAAGTATTTTTTTAAAAACCAAAAAACTCAAATTTTCTCAATGGAATAAACAAAGTGTCATTTATTTATTCATCATTCATTGGTTGGTTCATCGATCACGTGACGACGACAATGACGTCACTGCACGTAGCAGACGGTAAATTCGGCGCGGCAGCCTCCATTGACCCAGACGTAGGGTCCGGTGAAACCGTAGTTGACGTCAGCCACGCAGGGTGGTCCCTGTCTGGTCTTGATCTCCATGGACGACACGTAGCAGGCGTTTTCGATTTGCTCAGAGGCGAACGCGTAGTTGTTGCTGTTCAGGGTTTTTGTCACACATTTGTCTGGGAAAAGGGAGGGGGGTTTGGGGGGAGGGGTGGGGAGAGAGAGAAGAATATACATTAGAAACGAGTGTTGTAAACTTAAAATTCGTAGTAACAAATGTTGTAAACTTTAAAAGTGTAATTTTTCTATCTGTCTATCTTTATAATATCTATCTTTCTCTATCTTGCTCAGAGGCGAATGAATGTGTAGTTGTTGCTGTTTGTCTGGAGAAAGGGGAGAAGAAAGTAGCCTGCATCAGAAACAGTTTAGTGTTGTAAACTTTAAAATAAAACCGTATTTTTCTATCCATTTATCTATATGTCTATCTATCTTGCTCAGAGTGGAAAGTGTAGCTGTTGCTTTTTTGGGGTTTTCGTAACTCATTTGTCTGGAAAGGGGAGGGGGGGGGGGGAAGACAAACAAATTTGTAATGTAAACTTTAAAAAGGCGTATTTCTCTATCTTGCCCAGAAGAGAAGAGGAGAGGGAAAAATAAATAAATACTGTAGATGCTATAAACTTAAAAGCGTTGTTGCTGTTTGCCTAACCACTAGACTACCGACGCCTTAATTAAACAAACAAACAAATGAACGACCAAGCAAACATACAAACAAACAAGAAATCCGTGTGTGGTTGGTGGGTGGTCTTGTGTGGTTTGCTTGTTCTTTCCTGTCAAACGTCTATCGCCCTCATATTACCGGCAGTGATATCTCCTTCTTTTTATGTGTGTTTCTCTTTTGATGTAACGCCTCTAATCTTCGGCACTTATATGACCTCATCGTGTTGCAAGTGCCGTAAAACTCTTACTAAAGCAAACAAACAAACAAACAAACGAACAAACAAACAAATGAACAACCACACAAACAAACGAACTAAATGAGAAATCCAACAAACATACAAACAAACAAACCAACAAACAAACAAACGTACTTTGCACGGCACAAACTTTGAGCAGTTCTCGACAGCCATGAGCCATTCAGAAATCCAACAAACAAACAACCACAAAAACAAACAAACAAAACAAGAAATCAAACAAACAAACAAACATCCACACAAACATACAAATTAAACAAGAAATCGGACAACCAACCAACCAAACAAACAACCAACCAACCAAACTAGCAAACAAACAACCACACAAACAAACAAACCAACGAACAAACAAACAAACTAATTAACTAACCAACCAACAAACCGACTTACTTGCCACTGCACAAACTTTGAGCAGACCACGACAGCCATGAGCTACCCACAGCTCGTTGGTAGAGAAACCGTAGCCGGAGGCAGGCTTGCAGTAGCCTCCACTGAAGTCCTTCTCCACCGACACAGAGGTGATCCAGGCAGCGGGCAGCAGGGGCTTACTGAAGAACTTCCAGCCCCAGCTCTCCATCTTCACGAGAGCACAACGAGGGGGAGCGTCTGGGAACAAAAACAAGTGGGAGTATTAGGGCCAAATGAAAAAAACCCAGGTGTAAGTATTACATGCATTATTATATGACAAAATTAAAAAAGTGTAGGTATTAGAGCATAATGTAAAACAATAGTGTAAGTATTAGAACCAAAAACTAAACAAAAACAGGAGTAAGTATTAGAGTAAAAAGTAAAATTGCTCCCACATCCGATCCGGACATTGGGGATTTCCTTGTTAGTGAGACAAATTCCTGGGCCTTCGACATGTGTAAGTGTATAGGTTTAACGGCCCTAGCAACACAATTGAGTTATATGTCAAGAAACAGGACTTCCGAATTTAACGTCTGCCTTGGATGAAACTGAAGAAATAAAAATATGTGATGGTAGCCTTGCAAATCCTCGTGCAGAAGGTGCAGAGATGGCATCTTGTCATTGAGACAGATCAGAGAAACAGCAATCAAAGACAAGGAAAAGCTAAATGATATAGTTTTACAGTTTTCAACGATCAAGAAAATGCTTTCGACCGAGTGTGCAGATGCCTGTTAGTGAAAGCGCTGGGGGAATATGGAGTGGAAAACCAGGTCTTAAAACAAAACTTCATGGATCTTTATGAGAATAGTTTGTGTTCCTTTAGAACAAATAAGGACTTATTAGTGACTGGTCCCCCCCCCCCCCCCAGTATGGCCAGGAGTTCAAAAAGGATGTATACTCTCCCTGCTTCTATTTATTATATTATTTATGTAAGGATTTAGGTATCAGAGAAATAAATACATAATATTATGTGAGGCAGCGCGGTGAAATCAGTAAGCGTACGTCAAATTGAAAGTAAAGAAACTGGCATTTATTTCCCGGTGCTCTGATACTGATATGGTTTGCTTCTTTTTTCTCACGAAACATCGGACGTCCTTATCTCTCCTCCTTTAAAAAAAACTCTCTTGCAACACCTCAAATCTCCGGCTCTTGTATTACATGTATGACCTTATTGTGTTGCAAGTACCCCGAAACTCTGACCAAAATTAATAGGTGGTTGGCGGGTGTTCTGGTGTGGTTTGCTCCTTCTTTTCTATCAAACTTCTGTCGTCCTTATCTCTCCTCCTTCATTTTTGCGTATGTTACTCTCTTGTAACACATAATCTATTCTTCGGCACTTATATGACCATATCGTGTTGCAAGCGCCTTACGGTAAAACTCTTTTACTAAAACTAAACTAAAACTCTGACCAAAATTACACAAAAAGTAAAGAAAGATAACTACGATGATTTTGTACTCACTGACACATCCGTGGGCGGCTGCTACGAGCAGCACAAGGCAGGCAGCAACACAAAGCATCTTCATGATGACTGTCAAGATTTCGCACGTCTGTCTTTGACTGGGCAGGAGGAAGAAAGAGAGTGAACGTCTGTAAGCGACACTTGCCACAAGGCTGGATATCTTGTCGCAGAATGCGAACCGTTTTATACGCAGAATCAGTCACTGATGCGAAAATTTTACTTTTCAGAATTAAGCTTTATTGCCCCAGTTTCAGTCTCCACCTCACATTAAGGAGCATAATACGTTCGTGATAGTCGCAGTTGTGTCCTCTTTGTTAAAAAAAAAAGTGATTTCAAAAGCAGACGACCAAACCAAATGATATGGGTAGAAGGAAAAGAATCAGCTTTTTTTAGTTTCTATTGAATTGAAAGTTGTTTAATGGTATCCATTACCCCGACACGAACGATTAGGTAAGCTGTGGAAAACAGTATACTAAAACTAAAATGAGTCGTCGTAATGCATTTCTGTGCAGCAGAAACACAACACATTTTTGGGGGCCTTTGTTATTGAAACATCATGCTTTTCTTGTTGAGAAATTTTAATGTTGCAATACTGTTTCGACATTATGGTAGGCCTACGTTCGAGCAATTTATGACCAGCCTCTATTTTGGCCTCACCATTTACCATTTTAACGACCGAAAATTAAAACTTTTCAGTAGTTGGGGATTTTTTTCCTCATTCGGTCCTCTAGTTATGCTACGTGACAAAATGTAGCGTCCGCTTTGTGTGTCTGTCGCGGATGCCCCCCCCCCTCCCGGCCACCCAATTGCTATTTTGATAAGTCTTGTCTGTCTTTTCTAAGTAAGTGTGTAAGGTGTTGGTCTTCCGTTTTTTTTCATTACCCCTGTGGAAGCCTTTTTCTACGACAGAGCTTACTTTACTTTACTGTATCCGTCCTCTTGTACCCCTAGGGCGTCGAGGGGAGAAAGAGCTTCCTGTGTCTAGCACGTTTGATGGCCTGGCTGGGTGGGATATTGTATGTT